AAGGAGGGGAAGGAGGAGAGGAGGTGGAGGAAGGAGGGGAGGAGGAGGAGGATGGAGGAGGTGGAGGAGGAGGAGGAGGAGGAGGAGGAGGAGGAGAGGGAGAGGAGGGATGACGTGCGAAAGGCACAGCAGGACAGGCATGAGGAAGGGCGGAAGGAGAGGAATGCGCCCGCGCGCGGCACCGCGCGCGCGCTCGCCAGACTCTGGGTCCCCGCCAAGCTCGCCTACGGCCCGGCGGACCCCAGCGGCGCGGAGACCCCCTTTTTCGGTAGCAAATATTGGGAGCCTTCAGGGTAGTCTTGTATACCCACGATCGGAGGGACACAGCCTGTCCAGATCCGCCTCGTTCCCCTCCCCCCCCTCCTCCACCTCCTCCTTTTCCGCATGCTTCCGGGCTTGCACATGGTTGTCTTCCACCGAGGCAGTTCCTTCAGAAGAACTGACCCGTTGTAGGGGCCTCTGAAGAGGGAGCTTGGAGGGAGGGTTTATCCCAACATCGTTGACGACTCTTTGGTTTACATTGATCCTCCTCGTCCTCCTCCTCCGCCTCCTCCTCCACCCCCCTCCTCCCTCCTCCCTCCTCTTGTCCACGTCTCACCTTCCCCCTCCTCCTCCTCCCCTCCTCCTCCTCTCTCTCCTCCTCCTCCTCCACCTCTTCCTCCTCATCCGCCCCCTCTTCCTCCTCCTTCTCGTCCTCCTCCCCCCCTCCTCCTCCCTCCTCCTCTCCGCCCCCTCCTTTTCCCTCCCTCATCCATCCCACCTCCTCCTCAGTTCATCCTCTTCCCTCCTCCTCCTCATCACTCCTCCTCCTTCAGCCTGTTCCGAATTCCACGTCTGCCCCGTCTCCTCCTCCTCATCTTCTTCTTGTTTCTTTTAATCATCCTACTCCTCCTCCTCCGTGTGTCCCCTCCTCATGCGCTTAATTCCTCCCTCTTCCCTCTTCCCTTCTCCTCCTCCTTCCTCCTTCCCTCCTCCCTTATTATCCTCCTCCCTTCTCACTCTGCAGCTCCTCCTTTCCTCCTCTCCTCCTCCTCGCTTCCTCATCCTTCCTCCTCCTCCTCTTCTTCCTCCTCCTCCTCTTCCGCCTCCTCCTCGTCCTCCTCATCATCTTCCTTATCCTCCCTCCTCCTCCTCCTCCACTCATCCTTCTCCTCCCCCCTCCTCCCGCCCCCGCCCTCCCCCGTCACCCTCCCTCCTCCCTGCGCCCTCCGCCTCCACTCCTCCCTCCTCCCTCCTCCCTCTTCCTCCTCCTCTTCCTGCTCCTCCTCCTCTTCAACTTCCTCCTACTCCTCCTCATCCTCCTCCGCGTCCTCCTCGTCCTCCTGTATCCTCCTTCGTTAGCCGTTCTGGCTCAGGCATTCAGCTCTGATCTTGCAAGCACGCGCTTCAGAGCGGCTCGTGCTTGCGAGCCAACGGACACGGAGACGAGCTCGGTTGGCCCGTGGCATCGCGCCGCGATGCGCCTGAGATCCGAGCCTCAACGACGGTATAGTGGAAATGCACGGGCAAGTTGCTGAGGTTGCCCGAACTACATCAGCAGGGCGGAGTGCAGAGTGTGCGGGGCCAAGGCGCCGCCCAGCATCCTGGCCGCCCTCAAGTCATGCCAGCCCCTCAGCCTCGGAGCAGCACCGTGGCGCGATGGAGGAGGAGGCGCCGCAGAAGCCGCCAAGCCCCAAGGTAAGGCAAAAGCTAAGCCGAAGGGTCAAGCTCGCGGTGCCCAGTGGCGCCCAGTGGGACAACGCCAAGAACTGGGCCCTGCGCACAGCATGGAATACGGTGACACCCCCGCCGTCCCTGTCAAAAGCAATACAAAGTGCTCGCGGGCCTCACGAACATGATTCAAGACTTTGCCCCGAAGTGCATTGTTTTTTGTCAAAGATGGTCGGGGGGCCGCATCGGGTTGGCCGCGCATGCTTCAAATGTGGAGGCACAGTGCGACTTGTATTGTTTTTGACATGGATGGTGGGGGGCGGGCCCGCATGGAGTCGGCAGGGTTCCGGGTTGGCCTCTGGCCGGGTGGGGGAGGGGGTGTGTATTAATAAGGAACAGTGATCACCCCCTCCCCGAAGGGGAAACAGGGGTCTCTGGAAAAAGGGAAGAAAGACATTGTTTGACCACTTGCGCCCAGAGGGCTGGTAGGATGTTTGAAACCTCCATCGAACAGTTTTGTTGATCGTCCAATCCTCCCTCGCCCCACCTTCGGGCCGAACGAAAGGGGGGGATAGGGGCAGGGGGGGTCACGAAATCTGCTGCGCGCAGATGGTTTCGGCCCCGCCGGCGGGCCCATTCCTCGACACATGGGCGCCTCCCGGCGCCGGGAGGCGCCGGGAAAATCAGCTACGTGAGCTGATTCTCAACCCCCCCGTTTGCTATCCCCCCCCTTCGCCCGGCCCGGCGCTTCTCACCGTGCCGGTTCTGGACCTGCCTTCGCTCCGCGCTCGCCGAGGAGCAGCCTGGCCCGCCCAAGGGCGACCTGGTGTACGAGATGGAGCTCCTGAAGGCCTGCGCGGCCCGCAGGGGTCCCCTGGGCAGCGGGGCGCCAGATCGAAGACGACGATGGTGCGAGGCTGGAATTTATGCATGACCACCGCCTGGAAGATCAATTTTCGAGGACTTCGGCAGGCGGTGGATATGGATGCATTCGCGCCTTCGGGGGCCAAAATGTATCCATATCCACCGCCCGCTGGGGCACCAGGACGTCGGTCCCCAGGCGGTGGATATGGATAAATTCCCGCCTTGCAAATAAGGGCGAATAGCCCAGAGGCGGGCATCACACAGGAGCGACGACAGAAAACGGGGTCGTTTGCGCTGACATCCGCGCGGAAACTCCCCGCGTAAGGTCGCACGTGAGCGTTTTCGGTGCCAATGTGGCGTGCCGCGCCAGCGGCATTCGTAAGCCGCCGCGTAAGCCGCCGCGTAAGGTCGCTACGTCATCTCGCGTAGGACCCGTTTTTTGATCGTCGCTCACGTGTTCGCCGGGGAGCCCGCCGAAGACATGGACCGTCGGGGCCACTGGATACACGTAGTGTTAAGTCGGGCCTGTCTTTCTACGGGAGGGAAATTCCAAAATAGTCCAATAATAGCCTGGGGACGATTTTTTGATTAGGTTTGAGCATGTGGGGAATATTTTCACTGTTTTCTATCGCTCAGAATCCGCCTGTAGGGGGACAGGTCCGACCTAAACGTGCTGCTCCTGCCCTTCGATCGTCGCCCCCGATCGGGGCCTCTCTTCCGAGGGGGCCGGCCGGCCGAGACAGAGCCCTCGTCGTTCTCTCTTCGTCGTCTGTCGGGCAGTCGCCGTCCTCCTCGCCAGCTCCCAATAGGCCTACCAAGCAGTGTCACAAGAACCTCTTAGTGGTTTCCGCGGAATGTTCTCAGAGTGTTTCTGGCTGGGACCGTCTTGTTTTACCACCTCGGGCTTGTGTTCTGAGAGCCTTGCTCTTGTTCTTAGAACGTGTTGGGGTTCCAAGAACATCTCGTGGTGTAGGCCTGTAGGAATGCCGGGACGGTCGGCCCCTGCTCAATCCGTTGTTCCGCTGCCAGTTGCATAAGGGACGTCTTCGGCCCTCCGCTTCAAGTCTTCGGACGGTTTCGTTGGTCCCTGGAGCAGGGCTGGGCCCAAGCGGTGTTTTTGCGAATTCGTGGGCCGTTTTCGTTTCAATTTCGCTTTGCGGCAAAGGCGGATTGAGGACAAACGAAGGAAAACGAAAGCAGAACGAAAACGAAAAACACAGTGTAGGTTCAGCCCTGCCCTGGAGGTTGTCTTGCCTCGGGATGCTCCCCAGGAGCCGCGCCTCGCCGACAGCGTCCGCTGGGGTGCCCGGATCGCCCGGGACGGCCGCCGCAGGGCCGAGTTATGACCCGAAAGCTCGGAGGCAGCGTGTCTTAACCATCCGCCTCCTCGCTCGCGCCCAGTTCTCGGGGGCAAGTGCTCATCATGCGCCTGTCGTCGTTCCCTCCCTCCTCCTCCCTCCTCCCTCCTCTTCCTCGTCCTCCTCTTTCTCCTCCTCCTCCTCCTCCTCCTCCTCCTTCTCCCTCCCTGCCTCCTTGCCTCCCTCCCTCCCTCCCTCCTCCCTCCGCCATCCTCCGCCATCCTCCGCCATCCTCCGACATCCTCCGACATCCTCCTCCTCCTCCTCCTCCTCCTCCTCCTCCTCCTCCTCCTCCTCCTCCTCCTCCTCCGCCCCCTCCCCCCCTCCAGGTGACGAACGCGGACAGCGACTCGATGGTCTCGCTCTTCGGGGGCGCAGGCGGGCGCCTCCGCCGCCCCCAGCGCCCGGGCGGGCGCCGCGCACCCCCGGCGCCCGGCGGGGACTGCGGCCGCCTGCTCGGCTCGCCACGAATGGGAGGCCACATGCGAACCCCACCCCTACCCCCCACGATTTCTGAGGGGAGGGTGGGGTTCACTTCGTTTGGGAGCTCCCGAACGAAGTGAACCCCACCCTCCCCCTCAGAAATCGTGGGGGGTAGGGGTGGGGTTCGCATGTGGCCCCCTAACGAAGCACGCGGGCCCAGAGGGAACCAGGCCCTTAGGTCAGGTGCGGCACTAATCGGGAGCCTCGAGAGACGGGGGGCAATGCAAACGGGGGTCAGCCAGAGCGCCCGATCTTGCAGGATCCTGCAGAGCTGGGGTCTCGCTGGCCCGGGGGTGGGCGCAGGATCCTGTAGGATCTTGCAGCATCCTTCGCATTGGCCCGGGTTTGGGTGCAGGATGCTGCAGGATTTTGCAAGGCCTGATTGACCCGGATTTGGATTGACGCGGGTCAGAAGATCCTCGAAGGTCAGGGGCGGCTCTAAGCGACCCCTGTGGTAAACCATCCGTGAAAATATCCTGTGACCATGACGCGCATTCTGCCCTCTACCCTTCCTCCGCCCCCCCTCCCCCCCTACAACGTGACGCTCCCCCCCGCCTGGCTGGCGATGACTGCAGCGCGCTCACGCGGGTCACTCCGCTCCGTTGGTGCCGCTGCCGCCAGTTGTGCAGTCGCGGCGTCTTCAGG